TTATCGGCAAATATTCTGAACAAACAATCTATGTTTTTTAACAAAGATGGCTTTAAAAAACATCATTTCCTGAAATATTTATCCCTTTTTTCAAAAGTTTAAAGATTTTTAAATGACATCATGTCGTTAAAATTTTCATTTTTGCTCTTGTATTTAATATTCACCCTTTTCTTGAACATTTACACAATTTGCTTGTAGCAAACTATACCGATTTATACCGAGACATGTTTAATTGTAGCGAGAAGGGTTTACATAGCGTGTTTCCAGACCATTCTATTTTGAAAGACCCTGCTTCAACACTTGCAGGAATGCCATACTTGATTGTCAGATGTTATCAGAAAAACAATAAGAAATTGTTTAAGTGACATAACATAAATTGCCCAACTTTAACTATATCAAACTAGTCACTTGTTTAAGATAGTGATAAAAAAATTTCAAAGAAAGGTATTTTTTTTTATAAAATATTGTAGAGTTTTATCATTTACAATGTACCTCAGTCTTAGGTGTATTTAAAACATTTATTTATATGATGTACCACTAAATATTCATAGGGGTTCTTATTAATAAAATCTTAAATTGTTATAAAGTTTTTTCAAGTGATAAATTAAAAAAATAATCTTTTGTATTAAGCGATAACCATCTGGCAGATCTAGACAAGTTTCCATATTTGGTAATATTATAAAGTGGGGAAGGTAAAATGGCTGTAATGATTTTGATGCATTTATCATTTGCACCCCAAATAGTGTACTAAGAAGTGACACCTCTACTGCCCTTTTTATACACATTAACAGTAGTCATACCAATGCATTGTACTGTACATATGTTATAACATTAGTGTAAGTTTTTATGCCCCGGGCATATAGTAATTGAACTGTCCGTCCGTCTGTCCGAGCAAACATTTTGGGTTTAGGGGCTATATAACAGGAAAGAGAACAAAAGAGAACAATAGGTTCATTCCGTGATCAAAGGGTTTATGGGCTAGTAGCTCTTAAGAAAACAAAGAAAATAGCCCCTAAACCCAAAATGTTGGAACGTCCGTCCGTCTGTCCGTACGAGGTTAACCTAGAACGGCAAGTTGGATTTTTCTTGTACCAATGGCTTCATAATTTACACACTTACTTATCCATACAAAGTATATGATCTGGGCAAGTTACATAACTATAACTGCATATCATAAATCATTTTATTATTATAAAACACTGTATCAAGAAAAAATTAATACAAAAGTGACATGTGTAATAATAATTACTTTTAAAAATATATGTCATATCCGGTATTTAACAAATACATGGTTTTAAGAGGTAGGAGGGTAGTACTAGTAGAGTGTGTGAGGGGGCCCCGGGGTTAGTGACCAATCAAGGCGCCAAACACCTATGGGTGGCCCATGGCCACAGAAAAATAGTTCGAGCCAACTGAAATTTTAAGAAAATTAAGTTAAATATATAGTAGAATAAAATTCAATCAATTCAAAACTGGAATTCGGGCTCTTAATTTAAATTCATAAATTTTATTGACTGTATGGTCACAGCACAGGAACTTGAAATTCTATCAAATAACCAATATTAATGATAATATCCAAATATATACCCCCTATATACTATAAATAAACACAAGGAATGAAACGCCTTTTCCCTACCCCAACATAATTTACGCCGAACAAATCAACAAAACAACGGATCAAAATATTCTATCTGGCCATTTCGATAAACAATACATAAATGCATCAAATACCACCGATAACTGTTTTTAATTGCCTAGCTATGTAGGAATAATTCAACATTTTCTGATTATTTCCCATGATCTGAGTTTGTCGCCGACTCCATTTCGTGACGTCACTGGATGTTGATTCGAGGAGAATAATATTTAGTAAAATTATTTTTAACAAGTTCCAAAAATAACAAGTTTGCAAGTAAAATACTGTCAAACTAGAACAAATGACTGATTTCTTTCTTACGACAAGGCTGAATTTATTTGCTGGGCCATATCAAATAGAGTCTACTCAATTTTTTTTAAAACGAAAGTACTTATTATTTCAAAGATTTACCGTTCTTGTTTGGGGTTTCCCTTTCAAATGTATTTATAAAAGTAATTTGTTAAAATATGTTTATTTATACTGTATAGGGGGTATATTTTGGATATAGGATGGTCCCCTATGGTACCACTGTACTTATTATTTCCAGTAAATTGTACAAATAAAAATATCTTATATTTACTATTTTATTGAATTGTGTTTAGCCCTCGCATCTTAAAATACACATGTCTATCATAGAATAACTCAATGATTTTAATTAGAAACATCTATGGTCGGTCAGCCATGTTTAGAATGGGAGCTTATACGGAGAGCACTATGGTACCGTGGTATGTTAATTGATGACCCTTTTTGGCTTCAGTATAATTGTTTGTAACAGAATATGCTGTCATTACAGTTTCAGCAGACAACTTTCATCTGTTGGAACATGAAATTATAAGTTTAACCGTTAAATATGGGGTAAAATAAAGAAGTTTTTTCAGCACACACAGGCAGCTTTCGATTTTCCTATCAATGACAGAATTTATTTGAAATGAAAAAAAATTCTAACAATTTTTATCCAAATTCACAAAAGCAGCACTTCCACTTTCACTTTAATGGTGGAAACAGTATTTGGTGACATTCAATCGTCAATCAATGTGTAAAGAAACAAATTTTCTGATTACATCGGAATGGGCAAGGACGCGGTACCAGCGGGGAGTACTAATAATCATTAATATTGATAGAATTTCAAGTTCCTGTGGTCACAGGATTAAAAATAAAATTGTTTTATTCTTTTGGAAATGGTATAAAATGATACCCACCATTATGTCCAAAAAATGGCATAAATGAATTGATGACCATCCCACAATTTTAGAGAGACTGTCATTACTTGCAAACATAGATGAAAAACTTCGTCAGATAAATTTAATAGAAAATAAAATTCCCATTTCCTATTCGCTCGAATACGAACTTTGCTTTCATACAGAATATGTTCCTGTCGGAATTTAAAATGCGAAATTCTTCTGTAATGTAATAGAATGAAGATATCATTTATGTACAGTATTTAATATTATAAAGTTCTATCTCCCTTGATATTACTTCACCTTTGTCACGAGAATATAGGGGAGAAGATGAGTAAGTAGTCAGATAGTATAGATACTGTAGAGCCATTTAGTAGAGGGCCCTGGGTTCGAGTTCCGGTCAGCTATGTACATATTTTCTCACCCTGTGGCATTTTGTGCCTAACATGAAACAATGACTGCATATAACTCAAAGTTTAATCTTATATAGCTCTGTAACCTTGAGAAATTCGAATTTCAATGTAGGGGCGGAGTATGTGACGGTTTAGAACTGTTCACTAAAAAGAGGAGAAGATGTGTTTACAATTAAGCTGCGTGTCGGTATACTTTGCAGACAAGTTAAACATAGAGGGATTTTGCAGACAAGTTAAATAAAGAAGGATTTTAGATTTTGCAGACAATATAGATTATATAGGGGGTGTTTAATCTCTTGTCAGGTGCAGGATAGCTCAGTTGGCAGGGCTGTTGAACAGCCGGTATTCCGAGTATTGCAAATAAATTTCTCGAATTTTCATTTCTTGATAGAGCTACTTTGTGGGTATTTCGAAATATGATTATAAAAGCAGAGCTCCCATATGACTCTCGATCCTGTCTTCTTGAAAATTACATGTGTTACACTGTAAAATAAGATCGTAATTACATATCAGTTAAACAAAGTGTCTTGGGGTAGTCTTAGGGTGTCTTGGGATAGTCTTGGGGTGTCTTGGGGTAGTCTTGGGGTGTCTTGGGGTAGTCTTGGGGTGTCTTGGGATAGTCTTGGGGTGTCTTGGGGTAGTCTTGGGGTGTCTTGGGGTAGTCTTGGGGTGTCTTGGGGTAAATAGACCGACCGCATGTGTATTGATAAAAGTTTATGTGTATTGATTAAATCCACGTAAACAGGATCTTAAATACTTATATTTAGAATTTTTTATTCGAAATTATAATATTTCATCATCTATTTTTTAATGAAAATATAAACTTGGTCATATACATACATGTACAAATATATGACCCAATTGGAAATTTAAGCTTTCGAGCTTAATGGGCTGTCATTGTAACCCTATATCACTTTGTCCGATAGCATTGTGTATAACATGTATTTTATAATAATAATAATTTTATTTAGTTGAAAAAATAATGGTATTTTAGATATCCTTATCATCATACTGCTTTAAAATCGTTTACGATCACTCTAAGCAGGTATACATTGTATACATTAAAGAGACAGCTATGAGATACGAGGGAATCCGGGAACCAGTCCCAAGCTCTTATGGAATAGACCCCTTGGTTCTTTTACATGTCCAGTGTATAGCATTGATACATGCGAGGATTACCTGAATTTCTTACCAGTACACATCAAGGTAGATGGGAAACTTTGAAAGTGTCTCTGAAAAATCCAAGGGTGTAACCCAAGATCAAACCCGGGACCTCAGGAGTGATAATCAGTGGTTTAACCAACTGAGCTATCGCGCCAACTATATGCTCATGTTTAATGTTTCATAAACAACAATATAAATATGCTAATCGTTTTAAATAAGTTTTTTGTGTGCTTTTAGTTTTTATGTTTCTAGTTTGTCGTAACCATTTTCTTATCTGTGAATTTTCATAATTGTATATTAAATAATACATGTATGTATTAACTTACGTTATCTGGAGATGACAACCTTTTTGGCCAGTACATGGCGATTCATCTTTAAAGAGTAAACATACAAAGACAATTGCTGTGTCTTGATTAAATCATCGTTTAAAGACAAAAAATAACACATGCATTTTTGCCTTTCATATAAATTTTAAAAAATACCGCACGGCTAGACAATACAGTGTGTCCTGGCTAGCTGTACATGACTCACGTACGGCTAGAACTTTTGGCTACACGTATATAGCCACTTCCATTAATTAACTTAAATCATAGTTTATTCATTTATATAAAATTTTATGAATTGGTATTTTATTTGTTCATAGATCCATACATTTTGTGAAATGATATTTTATTTGTTAAACCGTTATTAGTTTTATGTATATTTATATAACTGTATTTTGCAACATCATAGACGAGTCATTGTGCTAGCATCCAGTATGCCTCAGACAGTTCGATTAAAAAAATCCTCGACTATTTTGCGAAAATAAATCAAGTTATAAACGAAAGAGAACACTCATATCCGGACCGAATATAGTTTTGTGTATGAATCATTCTTTAGTTACAAACTAAGTTGTTGTTTGATTGTCTAGAGTTAAAGACAATACAATGAGTATTTTGTGTTACGATGCAATATTTTTACAGCAAATTTGGCACTGCCATCTCACTTCCGGTTATCCATGTAATTAACGAATTGATCGCTTAAACACGAAAATATTATTTAAAATATATTTACCGATACAGTTTTATGCCTGTCTTACTTGGTTCCGTGTGTGTGTTTTGTGTCGCCGGGGTTTGATAGGGGACTGCTTTCATTGAATTCCGCCTTTCCTTTTGATTGTTCTCATATTCTTTACATAAATCTCAATCTAGTGTTAGTTGCTGAGTAGATGGCCCTTCAGCAGAACTGGATCACGTGCTGCCGCCCGTTCATTGTGAATCATGATATTGTGGAAACATATTGGAAGCTGATAGTATCAAAGTATTCAGAAAAACAACGGTAACGTGATCTCTATTATTTGAAAGTCCCATTATGCCCCAGAAATGATTTTATTTCTATTTCCCCAAAAGGTTTTCATTTTTTGGTTTCCAAAAAGTAACTCATTGACCAATCACCTGTAAACTCTTTTTATATATATGCTCTAAAACCGTTATTTAAACGTTATAAAACTCATATTTGCCCTTTCCCCATTCTTTAGAATGAAAAAAAAAATCGTTTCTGAGGCATAAAGTGCCTGTAGAAAGATAATAAATGCACAAATTCGATCATCATTTAACTTCTTCATAAATAGTCTCAATTTTGGTATCACATTTATTCCATCAAGTAATTCAATGACACTTGGCCACTGATTTTACAAATAGAGTCTAATTTACTTAAAATAAAAATAAATGTTTTCATTCATATTTCAGATACTACCATACTTTAAACCACGTGACACATATGTTTTCTCTCTTTGACGAAGTGAGGGATAAACTCTCAAGACCAAATTTAGTAGCAATGGCTATATTCTTTCACGAGTAAGATCATATATTTATACAGTTATTTTTTAATTTCCGTTCCACCTAATGCTAAACCAAGTTTAAAACTTATCCTAATATGTAATTGTGTTAATCTTAAGTTCTCTCATCAGCACCTTGGAAAGAACGTCCATGAAAAAATAAACCGCTCACAAATTCCTCTGTGTATTTCTATGCCACCACAATCTGCGGTGGCATATAGCGATTCACGGAAAGGAATACTATAAAGAAATTAAAAAATATCGTCTGCTCTAGAACCAAAAAGGCCTATATTTTGAAAGGGAAATAACTCATATGGGAATGTTTTTTATAATTCATTTTTATGCCCCCCTTTTATATTGCTTTGCATAATGTCTGTCGGTCGGTCCGTAGACCAAATGGTTTCCGAGTGATAACTAAAGAACGCATAGGCCTTGGAACTTCAAACTTGGTATGATGATTGTTCATGACCAGTAGATGATCCCTATTGATTTTGGAGTCAAAGAGTCAAAGGTCAAGGTCACATTAACCTTGTAGGTAAAAACGGTTTCCAAGTGATAACTAAAGAACGCTTAGGCCTAGGAACTTCAAATTTGGTATGATGATTGTTCATGACCAGCAGATGACCCCTATTGAATTTTAGGTCAAAGGGTCAAAGGTCAAGGTCACATTGACCCTTTAGGTAAAAACGGTTTCCGATCAATAATTAAAGAACGCTTAGACTTCAAACTAGGTTTGATGATTGTGCATGACCAGCAGATATCCTCAATTGATTTTGGGGTCAAGCGGTCAAAGGTCAAGGTCACATTGACCTTGTAGGTAAAAACGGTTTCCGATCAATAATTTATGAACGCTTGGGCGTAGGAACTTCAAACTTGGTTTGATGATTGTTCATGACCAGCTGATGACCCCTACTGATTTTGGAGTCAAGGGGTCAAAGGTCAAGGTCACATTTCAGATCAATAACTTGACAACTCATGTGCTGTTGGCCCTCAAATTTTGAAGGTGCATTGGTATTGGCCAGTAGATGACCCCAAATGATTTTGGGGTCAGGGGACTAAGGTCAAGGTTGCATTGACCATGTATTTCAAAACGGTTTTCTATCAATAATTGGACAACCCATGGACCCTTGACATTCAAGCTTTACAGATGCATTGCTTTTGGTCAGAAGATGACCTCAATGGATCTTTTGGCGTTAAGGGGTCAGAGGTCAAGATCACATTGACCTTATAGGTAACAACACTTTCTGATCAATATCCCAACTCATGGGCCCTTTACCTTCAAAAGGAAGGTAATATAATTAGATTTGATATTAAACATTGTCTCTGATGATGCTGAATTTAGTTCAAGCGTTCGAGTGAGCGCGAGTGTAAGTAAGCGCGAGTGAAATTGAGCGTGCGTGTGTGTGTGTGTGCGCGTGTGTGTGTGTGTGTGAGTGAGTTTTGTGCGCGGGTGTGATTGTGTGCGGGTGTGAGTGTTCGCGTGTGTGAGTGGGCGCAAGTGTGAGTTAGCACGAGTATGAGTGCTTGAGTGTGTTAGAGTGCGAGTGTGAGTGCGCGAGTGAGCTAGAACGCGAGTATGAGTGTGCGAGTGTGAGTACGCGAATGTGTATGATTGAATGCGCGAGCGAGTAAGTATGTGATTGACAAGTAGTGCCAGCATGGTAACTATGATCACTTACCGGAAAAGGTCGAATATCACAAATAAACATAGCATTAAAGCGATACTATTGTCTCTGTCAACGAGTATCACGTTGATTATGTCTGCCTCTTTTTACTGACTAACACTTATAATGTGAAATTATAATTATTATCTTATATTGTTTGCTTTTTAATTTCGTATAATACATACATTGTATAGTTAAAATGTGTAACACGTTATGTATATAATTTATATAAATTAACGATTTTAAAGCTTAGTGTATGAACCTAAAGAGAAAGATAATGAAGAGAAAAGTGCAGCTTTGTTCGAGGAATTCTCATCGCACTTTGAAACAAAGGTATGTTTCTTTGCACTAAAATTATACCAATGTATCTTTAATAGAGTAAAATTTAGGATTAATTTGGCCATGTGAGGTGTAGAATAGATCAACCTTGAATTTTTTTAATTGATCATTAGACATTAGACTCAAGTTTTCACTTTTTATTGAAACTCATTGATCGAGACTTTTGTGTATGCTATTGTAGTATTGTCTAAATTTCATTATAGTTTCACTTTGTGGATGCCTTGTCATTCTCTTTAAAATTCTGCGTAGGGTTGTGTAAAATATAATGTTCACTTCATTAAATGGTTTTATATCTATATTTCTTCAAAGCATGATAGAGACAGTAAGGCTGTATATGATTGGATAATTGCGACGAAGCAGCACTCGACGGAAGTTCACAGGATGCCGGGAGTTTATGGTCAAGATGACTTGCACTATTTCCTCGATATGGACATGGCTATATTAGGGACTTCCGATTCTAGTACTTATTTTTACTTTATTTAAAGATAAAATAACTTTAACTTCTTAATCTGGAATTACTATATGCTTGGCATCAATTTATCAAACGATTAAGTACCCAGTATTTAAAGAAACATATATCTTGGTGACATATAAATCGATGATTGCCGCAATTATATAAATAGTTTATTTCTTATGGATATCTAGAACATTTTGCTAATAAGGTTTGAATGAGTGCGTCTTTTTGATCTAGTTTTGTGAGTTTAAGCGCTGTTGCTAACAGAGGTGTATTCGCCTCAGATTCAAAATTTACTGTATGCTTTTTAAAAACTTTATTAGATATTATATAGTATTTTATTATACAGCGACAGAAAAAGTGTGTAAACTGTATATATGTATATCATTTGATTGATTCTTTCATGATGTATGATAGGGGAGTGAATTTAATTTTCCAGGTTATAAAACATATGCTGATAATATACGAAAAGAGTACATACACATACCTGAGTTGCTATTTAAAGAAGGCAGAGCCAAAGTAAGTATATTTCAATAATTCCTTGCCATTATCTGAAGACAGAAACTTACTTTGAATGCATTGATTCCAGCATAGCTCTTTATTAACATTCATTTTCTATCAGAAAAGACCATGCGATATTCATACTTATTTCTCCTAAATTTTGTCGTGGCTGCAATAAATATGTTCTTATGATAGCATGAATTGCTTTCACTTCTCGCTTTTTTGTGACTCTGTCGGTCAGTTCCAATATGTTTTAATAAACAAATGTACATGTACATTGTATGTTTATTTAACACATGAGGTTGCTTGTTTTTCCATGTAACTAAACCATTTCGTATTTATTTTTATTTCACATCTTATGTATAAAATGTAATCAGTGAAATTCAAGCGTTTTACCATGTGATGAACCTAGTCTTATCAATTTTGCCTCGTTTTTCATTTTCTGAGTCCAACAATCTATGTCTAATCATAATTGCATCCGGTCAAACCTCGTTTTCAATTTCAGAGTTCAAAAATGTATATAGAATATTTATTATAATAGAAGTAACAAAGTTTTGTCAAAATGTCAAACATTTAATGGCGTGAACTATACATTGTTGAATACAATACATATTCTACTGGACTCGTACATATCTGCAAAATCTATATTATACTCGGCTGTAGCCTCGTACAATATTGATATAACAGTGCTTCTTGATAGAATCTGGATTAGTACACACTCTGTATAAGAGTATCATTCAATATGGTATGTCACATATGAAATATACATGTACATAATTATACTTATATTACATGTAAAAACTGTTTATTCAGAAGAAAAAAGATGTTGTTCATTAAAAAAAGGGGCTTAATTTATCAAAGTAGACCAATCATGAATGTCTTGATATCAACCGATGGGCTGGTCGAGACATCTTAATAGATTCCTTACCGTTTGAATTTACAAACAAAAAACAAAAAAAAACGAAGTTCATTTTTTCCACCATATATGTTATGTAAGCGAAGCTTGTATCCACATTTGAACATTCTATATTTCAGGTGTTGCAATCGTTTCTGACCGTTCCGAATATTTACGCTACTGAAATATTCCGGAGAAAATTTGAGGACAAAGCAAGGGCAAACATTGAGGCTGAGATCGAGACACTTAAGATTTGTTAACTGGAGAAGTTTAATATTGATACTGTGATATACAAAACTCAATATATACGTAATATAATGAACGATGTCTTTATACAAAACGGGTTGATAATCTGTGTTATCATGGGTTCCCTTTATATACATATTAAACAAAAAAAAAAAGAATATTCTTTTGAACACCATGGATCTACACTTCTAAGATTTGGTGTGGAAGTTGGGCATGACTAGTAGATGACCCTGTTGGTTTTAAGGTCAGTCAGAAATCAAGATCATACTAAAACTTTGTCCAACTCATAAATATAGCGAATGTTGTACCATTCAGACCAGGTGAGCGAATATGGGCTAGTGGACCCCTTGTTAACATTATTGTAATAGTTGTAATTGTTAAGTTATATTTTGTTCAGTAGGGTATCTTTCTAGTTATTTATAGATTTCACAACTGGTAAAGTCAACACGGGTTTGAGTCATTTTCAAAATACGCAGAGTTTTTTTATTAAATAAATGCCAAAATTAAAAGTCAATTTAAATGTCTCATTTTTGTATGTCTTGAAGATAAATATTTACAGTGTTTTGAGGAGCATATTTTTTTAGTCTTTCAGTTTGTGCATATTAAAAACTCGATACAAAAGTGCAACAGGCAAAATATAAAGTAAGGGAAATACAGTAGCAAATGGAAAAATATGTACTATCTTTGAAATATAGAAACGAAATTCGTGTATATTTGATGAAATGTCAAAACTTAGAAATTCTATTCATTCTTCTTTTTTATTCATAACTATCATGAAATTTTTGAAAAGACATTTAATTGGAACTATTTTTCTTTTTTATTATAATGTAGATACTATTAACAAGAACCTGAAAAAGATATATAAACAGATATTTAATTATTATATAATAATGATATTATACAGTCCAGTTTAATTATAGTATATTAAAGTAGGTGTTAGGCAATTTTTAAGGATCACATACGGTCATTCTTTCTGTCAGTGGCATATCCTCATTCCATTTAGCCATTTGGCCAGTACCACCTTTGATCTTACATCTGATTGTTTTTACTCGAATTGCTCATTGAGTGCAGCCTCTAAAATAGATATTTCTTCTTTATGTAGACTAGGTATACCAGCTTATATTATACTTTGCTATATGTTTAATCATTTATCATAAAATGTGTTATTATTTTTTTCATTTTCTGAACTTTATGTACCTGTTAATAGAATTGAATTCAGATAAAAACTAAACATTGTAATCATTTTCTAAATTTATTCTTACATATTCTTACATAATATTATGCTTTTACTATACATTAAACCAGTAAGCTTTCGCTTTTAATAGCAGATATGGATAAAGTACATGAATATTTTATAATAAAGATAGTGGGTATACGTAAGAAAGCAAGCACAACGTAGAAATGATATGTATTTTTTTCTTAAATACAACCTATTTTGTTACTGTATATATTTTTTTATATTACGGGTACAGTTTCAAGGTTCCTATTCAATTCGTAAAATCTGTCTTTATGTAATTTATTGTTATGTAAATGAAAAAAAAAATATAAATAAAATATTGTTTAAACCAAAAGTTTTTTAGCTACAACTTGCAAAGTGAAGTTTGAAACGTCTCATGTTTCACTTCAGATCAAAATATATCGCCAAAGTTGATCAAAAACGGATATATTTTAAATATATGGTCGTTAAAGACCCCTCACAACATACATACTTTTTTCTTATTAGTATCGTCATAGTGTAGTGACAGATCGCCACTACGATCTACTTATGTTGTTCAACATTTGATGGACATGTGAAATGACAATGTACGAGTATTGACAATGCAGACCAGGAATTGTACCTTAATTTACACATTGCTACAATAGGTTAAAAGACGTCCATTAGCCGAAACTTCGCAGTGGCCATTTATAACTAATTTGGAAGCTAAGAGTGTGTCATCTTCAAAAAAGATCATTTACCGTTTTATGCCCTCGGACATCAGTTAAAGCAACCACATGTAAAGAAAACTTCACACAATCGTTAAGAAATGAATCAGAGCAGGATGTTTTATTATTAAAGGTAGAACTTTATCATGTTGTACATGTATACTGCCAACAAATGTTAAACACAATAGTATACACAATGTCTGTACAATGCCAAAATGAGGTAGGATTAAACGAAGAAAATAATTACAATAATCAAACTGATGAACGGAATAATGAATACAGGAATAAATTAGTCATTTGTATTTGATATGTTAGCACAATAACATCTTCGGAATCATGATGCATGTGATTCCTATAAAACATTCGTGTGAATTATTTACATGTTCAGAATTGTCAAACATTTCTTATTTTACAGCAGTCAAACAAGTTACAAAACTTTCATTACAGGTATCTCTCAAAGCCTGCATAGGTGATCTGTCAAGTTGTCAACTCATTCTAAATGAAATCATTGACATATTTCAAACTACGAGTATTACACTGTTGTAACAATTTTTATCTATTAGTAAACTATCTATGACTAATGTATTTAACTAATACGTGTCTATAGTAGACGAGAAAGTGTTCCACATCAACTCTGCTCGTGAAAGCTATACACAGGCTATTTCCTCTAAATTCAGTTTTTTAAAAATATTTCAACACTATTTACACATATAACATATTTCATAACGGACATTTCACGTGCATCCTGAAGTCTTCACCAACTGAATTTGTAATATGTATTTGCCCAGGTTTGTGTGTCACCACTACGGAACCTGATCAGACTGCCCGGACGTGAATGCTGGCATGGCTCTATACTAGTGGCATAAGCTAATTCAGCAAAATAAAGTTTAGATAATGCACACACACAAAACAAAACTAGAAATGGGATAGTTTGAATCTAATACATGTATAACATATGAGAGAATGCGTTCTCCCGCTTGTTATACAATGTTGGCACGATGACAGCAATGTGTATATTATCTATAGCAGACAATACTTTACAATACATAGTAATCATCTTATATGCGGGCACTTTTCAAATGTCAGTACAAAAACTATAATAAAGGACAATTTTAAATGCTCAAAAGTGACGGACTATTTCAACATAATATTTACACAATCTCTTTTCTGCATAATAATCCTCGCTCATTACTAACACAAATAGTACTTTCATATCAAACTTGCGACAGCTTGAGCCTCAAGCGGAAAATGGATAACGATTTTTAATCTCTGCTCTGTTTTTGATGGTACAAACGTGATGGTTGGCCGTGAGATATGTTAAATTACTATTTCACCGGTTGGTTGGTCAAAAATACTGCCAGGATTCATCTTTGCGTCACTTAGAAATGATGACTGCCTTGGTTTACACTTTGGTTCACTTTTACCATATGTATCGACCTTTATTCCCTTTTCAACATCTTGCTGATCGTTAGGTTCAATTCTAATTGCATCTCCAGATCCCATTGCCGGGTCCTCGTCAAAGTAATTGTTGGGTATCAGAAGGAATGAAAGGTCAAGGCCAACCGTCGGGGTCACAGGGAAATCCTCCATGTGAGGTATATGATGAATGCCCATTGTGATCCAGGTAACTTGATCCTGAAATTAATGTCACTCACGTGGTTAAAAATCTTAAATTTACTATAGAACAAATTCCTTTAACATCATCATATAAACAGGTATGTGAGGCTTAACTAAAATATGTAAATAACAATATTGTTTACCCTAGATTGTTCAAATATTTTATACAAAGGAACGTTATCATATATGTATAATATGAACGCAAATACATTTAATCCATATTAAGGACTTATTTCCGTGAAAGAAAAATACTGGTGTTATAATAAGAGAGATTGCCTGAAAAGTTGCTTGGCACGAAGTGAAACTTAACAACGTAACATTCCAAAATGTAGAGGTAGCTAAGCGCTTTCACGTAAGTCTACTGATGGAAAAATAGATATAAAGTTACAAGATTATTTTCCAACTTAAAAGTTACCTCATCTTTGATAGAGTCATTGTCATCGATAAAACTCTGGAAGTTAACAACAGGGTCAGCGGCATCCCAGATAGCGTACATGGAACTACTTCGTCTTTCAGTCTCGTTGTACTTTGTTACAGCGACCTGGTATCGTGCCCACGACACTGACGGCTCTTGTCCAGAACCCTCCTCAAATAGCTGTAAATAGTTTAATAATAAATGAATAAACATGAATACAAGCCTTTATTTACGGACTATATAGTGAGAAATTATTGGGCTTATTAATAAAAAAGAAGAATAAGTACTAGTATATGCATAGCTAACTTGAAATCAGATGTCATTTATTTCTATCATTCACAGTGAAATACTGATCATGTATTCCTCCATTTTTTATTCAAGATTTTTTAAACATAAAATAGCAATGGATATACTTGCCTGTTTCGACATGCCTTTTGTCATAAGTCTGTAAGCTCGTGGAACTTCTGAAGAAGATTTAAAATCCTTGTTATAAAAGGTGAGGTAGTTCGGTTTGTCGAAATCAAATTTCAAGGCAGCGTCTTTCTCTGAATTTACTACATTTCGGACCATTTTAGTGCACGAGTACTTAGAATCTGATTTAATGGACCATTCAGAATTGTCGACCTTTGTTGGAACAATATTTAGAATCTCGAATCTGTTTTCAGTGCCATGAATGTCCATATCAACTTTGTAATGAAACATGTGGTGATGAAGATTTCCTGTGATATGATCCCGTAACCGGAATCCGTAGTTATCAGCCGCTGGAACACTGAATGATGTCAGAATATAGCCAGTCGATATGACTTGAACCTCAATGGCACCGTTTTGATGGAAAATAAAGTCCATAATATAATCATAATTTACGACAGTTGCTATCGTTCGAACGGTAAGCACAATGTCCATCATTCCTTCGTAAAACTTAGAGGGACCTTGGCTTGATAAATGTCTTCTAAGTGGTTTTCCAGTATTGTGTTCAAACACACAGAAAGCTCTGTCTACGAGCACTGGCTCCTCGCTTCCTTCAAGCACGTGGTAAGTGCTGAGGTAAGTTGAATGTGAAGGACAATCACCACCGGAAACCAGCGATCTCACACGGGCTCCGATCAAACCAACACTATCCACGTAATCTGAAAATCTATGAGCTGGACTGGCCGATGAGTAAAATGCTGCAAGTTCTTGCAAACTGAGCTCGTATACGATTCTTTCATTATTGTATCGTATGTCAAATAATTGAGGACCTGAAATAGTTGACATTCTAACATCAAAGTCCCATCCCATATATTTAATGTGGCGGCCGTTGATCGAGTATCTCTTTCCACTCGGTTCGTATTCTGTCGGCGGAAGTAATGGTTCGTCAGGGAACAATTTCCCTCTCCTGTTCATAGAAGAGTAAACGTTCTTAGTGTTTTCTGGAAACGGAATCTTCGTTTTTGTTACAGCTCCATTGTCATAAGCATTCATAAGATCATCCAATGAGCTAAATACCTTATCCCCATAGAAAATCTTGTCAATAAAGTAATCTTCAACCTTGTTACTAGTAAGATCCATTAATACAAGAAAGTCTAGTGGATGTAAACTCCAGAACTCAACAATAGGGGTGAGCCAGAACCACTGCTTTCTTCTTTTAGGTTCATCAGTTACAGATGGAGACATTGGATTGGCCATTTGAAACTCAAGACAGTTTTCTTTACAGTTACCGAGTTTACCACCATAACTCTCCAGAAGAATTTTACTAACTTTACTGTTAATTTCACGATGCATAACAGCCACAGCACCAACTATTTCCGGTGAAGTCCATGGACGATAAAGGAAAGGTTGCGTTTTCTGAGCTTTTTTATTGGTAGGATTTGGCAAAGGTCCAACAATGTACTCTTCTACTACCGGTGCTGGTTTATCTCCTCTGAAAATGACAACGTAAGCTTCTCTTATAGGAGCTGGGGCGGATTTGTCAAGGAAGTTTAGTGTGTCCTTTTTGTTGGGAACATGCAGTTCCATTGCAAATATGTAACTTTTGTTACTAGCTATATCAGCAGCACCAACTAGATTAAGGTCTTTTTGTCCGTATAAAAACTTCTTTAAAGACTTGATTTCGTTCGAAGTGAGGTCATGAAAGGGTGGAACCACTTCCGGTGGGTCAAGGTTTAGGTTGTTACCAGCACTACAACTTTGTGATTCGTATGCAGCCTTTGCAGTTTGTGCTAGCTCAGAGGAACGAGAGGCTACCACACCTAATGCGATTACCAAAGCGACTATGATCAGACACAGAACGACCACCACAATCCTACATATGCCAATCTTACGGCGTAAGGACCCAGGGGAACCAGCGTCATCCATCTTTCAGTTTCTGAAGAAAAATATAATCAACTCTTTAAGATGTTTGTTCGAAATGAATTTTATAAAATACAAAGTTAATACAATACGTATACATATTATTATCGCATATCATTTTTTGTTACAAGTGATTTGCACCAGAAATGATTTAAGAAAGAAGTTTAGAACAGAACAGAACAAACATTTTATTTGGCAGAAACATATACATGTTCATCGCCAATACGTTGTGACATTGTGTATAGCGGTAAAGTGAAAAAAGTATAACATAATTTATCACATCAATATATTAACAAGACATTCGAAAAGCTGTTAACAAATTTATATATACAAACTATAATACAGAAATCTATATACTATGTAGAAGAATTTCCTGTCAAATATTTCGGACACATGTATGCTTTTGATTCAAAAATAAGTATCCATGTGTAGTTATAAATTATAAAAGATTTTTAACAGGTTATACAGTCATATACTAACGTTTTATTTTTTTTAACATAACCCAAGTCGCTAGGCGAGGGATATATTGCAAACAACCGTTCATTTACGGCCTTATAACCTGTAACATATCTTTAGAAGATTTTTCTTCTAAACTAATCAAAACATAAGAAACAAGACCAAATATTTCATGTTATATCCTTATGATAAATAGTACATCCACACTATCTAACCTGCGAAGCTTAATGCAGTATGCAGTTATCAGGATAATATAACAATTTTAATGTGCAGCTTTAACAGAGACGCATGCCTTCTTTTTTTTCTAGAATTACTAATAAAGTTGTTATAAACTCACTAATTCACATCGTAAATAGAAAATATTATTACATGCTTTTCGGTGGTTTATAGAAATATATCAGTGAAATAAAAACTGATAATTTCACTGTTTTAAACAGTAAAATTATAAATTTGGTAATTTCCCTGTTTTGAATATTTGAGCCTGTTACATTGTTTCAGTGAAATACAAGCGTTCACAGTACTGGAAACCAACTTAATGACGCGACGTTGTAAATGACGCGACGTTGTATTATTATTTGGCGCCCTTTTCATTTAGTACTAGGTTAAAATGTCTTTTTAAACGTTTCTTTGCATATAATAAAAAGAAAATTTGTTTAGTTTAATGTAAGATCGGAATATATTTCACCTCGTGAACACCAGAAGTTCATATTTCACTCGTGGCTGCGCCACTCGTGAAATATACCTTTTGGTGCTCACTCGGTGAAATATATTCCGATCTTACACTGAACTTAACAAATATCCTCTGTGTAATAAAAAATAATAAAACCCTGTGTGACCTCGATTTACTATACATGTTTTAAAGGCGGCTATTCAAATTTTGGGAGCAAGAACAATATATGTGCGTACAGCACTATCCAAATCATCTCAATACACCTAACATCTCTAACAACCCAATGTTTAGATTAAGAGAACGTGTTTACGCATGACTTAATTGATGTTGACGCACATAATAGTAGTTTCGGCGTGTCATCAAAAGATAAAAAAATCACCACAGGCTCGTACATTTATATGGATCTAGATGATAAATACATGTCTTGTCCAAATAAAAAAACATTTAAGTAAATTATTTACAATGACAATGAAACAACGGCTTGCCCCTAAATCCATTTTGCAAACATATCAGTTGATTCTTGGTAAAACAATTGTGCGTTTGGTAAGTTTTTTATCCTGCAATTGATTGAAAAGTCATAGAAAATAATGTCAAAAGGAGAACATGTCTTGGTAAACCGGTTTAAACAAGCTGTCCTACTTGCTACAATAACAGGTGTGTTTATATCTGTGTCAAGTGAAATATCGCAGTTATCTACTGTGATAATAGGGGTGTTTATATCTGTGTCAAGTGCAATATAAAAGTTATCTCATGAAAACTACAAATTTTTACTTTTATGCATATTAAATGACTGTAAACAAATATGTTGATGTTTTAGACCCGTTTTATTTATCTGAGAGGTAGCTGTTTGTTGAAAATTTTATTTTTCTTTCCTAACGTAAAAAGTACATATACATCGAATTTGCATAACAGTAAACACAGTCTAACTCATTCTACATATGCCGATTTTTAATCCTTTTCAAGAAATAATACAAAATAATTTTTAAAAAATTCATGACTGTGCAAGTAATCATTAGTTTTGGAAAATTTCCGTGACATATACACTTCAACAAATATAGGGGAGCAGTGGCCTAGTGGTTAAGGTGTCTGCCTCTCAATCCAGAGATCATGGGTTTTCTAGCCCTACTCGGGTCACGACCATGTTTCTTCATATGACACCAGTGCTGGTTGGTTCCAGGAAGCGGACTCGAAAGTGATTTATATAAGTTGCAAGAACTTGTTTCGCAATCGAGCATAAATAAATATGTTTAAACCAACAAATATAGTACAAAAAATATTTGGTTTTGAGATTGGATAATTATTGGTATATATAATTGGCGTCCGCGCTGAAGCGCGACGCCCCTTATGGAATGAGAAAGGGCAATTGCAATTTCTCGGGCCCTTTAGTCGGTCATAATAGCCGATCATTCCGATTGGTATGAGGGTGTTTGATTATTAAAAATGAAATGTCGCGATATTTACAATGAATAGCGAACTGGAGAATTTCGCAATGCAAACATATTCAAATGAAATAATCTTTTTCGTCAATTAATCGCGCTTTATTAATCATTTGGTAGTACACAGTGGGTTATTATGGTGTGTTATTGTTGTACATGTATCCGAAAGCTGTAAATAGAATGATGTGAAACATTGTGAAAAGTCCGAAAATCTATTTATAGGATTTTCTATTTGCTTTTATTACATAATTATATAAATCTCAATATCACCAACGTAAAATGCACATATAAGTTGTCTGTTTATTATTATAAAGTGAAGTCATTTTAAAGTCTGCACATTGTGATAATGTCAAAAAATAAATGTCAAACCGTTGTAAATGGAAATTATTTCTTGATACGGACGGTTTAAAAACTCTGAAACAAAACACTGGTTATTTTTTTTTGTCCCAGAAAAACTTTTTTTAATAACAAGGAATCAGTTGTATACATTTGTATTATATATATAATTGTAAAAACGATGTATTTATTATGTTAATGTCTCGATGTGGCATCAATGTACATGATATGACGTGAACAATTCAGTACATGTACGATGTCATCGATGTCAAGTTTTTGTTATAATTCATATCGCGGTTGCCGGTTGATCGTTAAAAGTTATATTTAGCGATGTTACAGGCCAACCTAGATTTGCCCGTTTATATATTGAGGTACCATCCGTCCAGGTTTAACATATTTATTTAAGAAAATTAATCATAATCTTGAATAAATCGAATATACATGTACAAAAGGTGTTTTATGTTCACCTAAGAAATTTTCTTAAATATTTTATGTTACTAAAACTGCATATATGATTGAAGCAAGTTTATCCAGTCATGAACTACAATAAACATTTAAACTGTAATTTGTTAATATTCAAAATCGTTTAAGAAAACCTTTTAACGCATATCCGGGTGTTTGAAGATTGATGAAAAGATGATAACGTAGACTTGATGCGAATAAATTTAAGATAGTCTATATTTTGTTACGCATATTGCATTTCGGATTACGAATCGCATTTTCTCGGTCCCTTTCATCAAACTTCGAACAACAACATGTATAAAGAAATATTGGTAATTGACAAGGTGTTCTGAATGTGCTGATTATCTTTATCTTTAGTAATTTCATATGTATAAATACGTGTGTCCAGCCGACTATTCTCTATTTTAGGTTTCAATTTTTCCGGGTATAAAAACTAAAAAAAAGAACGCATACCTATGATATTGTATTTATCATATGACACATAATAGTAACTTTTTTTCTCTCAAGTTACATTAACTGATATTTTATGCATTCATCTGCTGTCGTGTAAAGCCGTGAAATATTTGGTAACTGTGAAACATTTATCATTTAAAGGGTGAGTGACAGTAAACTAACTTTCACAGTACATTATGAACAGGGCGAGAAGAAAACAGATAGATATAGCAAGACTATAAGCAATAGTCAAATATATTGACGTGCCAAAGCTTAATTCTGAGATATTTTCGTTCTGGGGCAGAATCTTGCACAATATCTCGTCGCGCAGTACAATTAGTTGGACTAGACTACGCAACTTGTATAATTTTTACACACTTTTTCTATTATGTTCATATACTATCGTGTGATACGATTTCACCGTGAAAAAAACAACATAAAAATATTCTTTTCATGGTAAAGCATTATAATATAAAAAGGAATGCTACTCCAGTATGTTAAGTATTCAGCATGTATCATTTACACACGTGTTTATATTTATAAACTATACGGTTTTCACGATGACGCGTACTTTGTAATTACTATGAAATGTCCCTTTCGCAACATATTCATCGTACATGAATTCATAATATATGAGTATGCAATGTTAAAGCTCATTAGCTAAGAGCAATGACTATTTCCTAATTATTCAAATTGTAAAAAAATAAATATCGAAACCAGAAGTGCATTTTTTCATGGGGCAACGATCGGAGCGTCAGGTCGATTTTTTAAATTGATTGGTGATATTCTAATTTTAATTAAATGATTCTATTCAGTTGGGTTGTAGAGCAGTAAAATGATCAAAACAATTATTCTGCAAAACAAAACTGGGAAACAAAACAAGAACAGATCATTTATAACTGTAGCGATGGTTCGCATTAATTGGAAGAGAAATGAATAAAGCATTGCAATATACGTGTATTAAGATTTAGAATTAAAAGTAGTACGCCTAAAAAATTGAACGTTTCTGGGCGCGTAATTTTATTCTGTAGGACATTACATGTATAGTAACTGTCACTTTTTGAAAGTGATCGGAACCAATTTAATGCAGAAATAAGCATCCAAGATTATTAAAAAACAAATTGATAACTTATATATTAGAGTATGATTTAATGCAAACGTGTTTTAAATGTTTTAAAGTACAATACATATAAATTTCAAAAATCATTTAGATTACCTCTCTAGATTTTATCCGTAAACACTCGTTTACATTCACCCCTCTAACAAGAGTATAACGCACAAGTAATTTATTTTACCGCCAAGGTCGAATTTTGTATCTTGTGTGACGCGGAGATTGACCTATTTGTATTGAGTTAAAGTTAACCTTGCATGAAATGATTCATGACATAGATATCAGTGGCCACTATGGAACAGAGTCACTGCATTACGACATTCCCTTGGTGACATTGAAACTTACAACATGCTAAATTCATCTTGATTAATGACATCAGAACTTGTAAAACTTATGTACGGACGGTATTCGAGCCAGAACACCTTGGTCGCAATGAACCATATGCCCTAATTATAAATGCTAGTATTTGTTGAGGATTCCATCTAACCTAAGTTGAAATTCAACAACCGAAAAAGTAAAGATAAACCATTATTGAAGTTAACTTCTCAGATTAATTGCACATGTTATCATGTTATGTATAAAATAAACGGGTTATAATTCAAAGGCAATCAAGCATATTGTTACAGTAATACATGTTCTTTTTATATACTGGAATATCAATATTACTTAGTACATTGTACATTTTTTTCTTAGTAAGGCAACCTAGGAAAGAAGATATTTAAATACATGTATATGCTTTGCTGGAATTTTAAAATACAATTCATTTGCCGTGTAGCTTTTATTTTATTTAACTGTTGTAAGTAAGGTTAAATGAGTAAGGGACATATTTAAAATTGTGAGTGAATTTTGTACTATTAAATTTCGTCTTTTTTCGAATAATAATGTCTCAACTTTCAGTATGGGTCCCGAATACAAATATAGCTATCGCTCGGCGGTCACATTAAAACATAACAAGGTCTTTTTCTTTAAAAAAAACTGAAGCAAGAGACAAAGTTTAGCGGGAAATCACATTAAAAAAACGAGGATTTAAGAATCAAAGTCACTTATTTCATAGTATCCACTTTTGTAGTTTAATCATCAGTGTTTACATTAACACATTAATACTTTATGATATTTTTTACCCTTTTTTCTCCCTCTATTTTTGTGTGGATAAAAGATGAATTAGTCATCTGAGTTGAATTATTGAAATAAAACACAAGCGTAAAATTATCTTAAGCGGGAAAGCCTTTTATGTTTTATCCAATAAAAAGAGGGCCATCAATTAGTGTAAGTCAAAACCCATTCTATTGAAATCATGAATATTACTGTTAATTGATAAATGCTGTAAATGTACATGAAAAAGTGACAAATGTTAAGTCAGTATGGTATGATTCCTCGACCTTTACCGATCGTTTGAACGAGGAGAATAAATGGGATCACCCTTATTGTTGGGCCCGAAAAAAATGTAATAAAAATACACATTAAGAGCCATTCATATTTGTTATAGAAATTGAACTGCATCTATTATAACAGCTTTTCAAATATATGTCTTGAAGACTTCATTTAGTCTTTACAAATTTCTACAACTTTAAATGTTTAAACCGCTAAGCCGGAAAATCAACAAAAGATAAAACCAAAAAGTTCTTTGAAAGTGATATTTCTGTTTTATGTATATATCTTTTGAATATTAAAAAATGTCTTTAGACGTTCTAGCCGTTTTACTTGTTTACGTAAAATTTCTACAACTTTAACGTTTTCAATGATGTATTATAATGAGAATACCCAAACATAAATTGGACCTTTAATACTATTAGCTATAATTATTTGTTACGAGATAGCAATCTGCATCACAATCATGTTTCAAGTCCTTGACATTATTTGATTACATATCGGGAGCTTATTCTTTAGTTTCCGTAATTTATCACGATTTACACATTGATTTATTATAATAGTATAGTTCTTACTACCCGATGGCCCTGTACGATGGCGTTAGCATTCGCGAAGTAGCAAGTTCGAATCATCCACAAACATTTTTTCAGGTTTTAAAAAATATGCAACATTAATTGATGAATCATTTGTTTAATTGCTTAATTTCATATTTTTAACATATACATTTATATATATGTTGACATAAAGTCGTACAATAGGGATGATTTGCATCACAGGGGCACGGAATAAAATATGTGTCATAAACTTATCCAATGTACCACTATGTAATAGAAAGAGCACCGAAACACGAGGCTATCTGATTTATACGAGGGGGCGTAGCCCCCGAGTATTAATCAGATTGCCGAGTGTTTTGGTGTTCTTTCTCTTTTGTATCATAGTCAAACATAAAAGCACGCTCCCTGTTGTAACAATATGAAACCCCGGCAAAAATGAACCAATGAACGAACATCTGAATATGACATTTCTGTCGCTTTCCCTTTCTCTGCATTCACAATATGTAAACCCCAGCAAAAATGAGCCAATCAATGGGCATGCTCTGGAGTGCGGGTAACTAATACCCGCACTCCAGTTAACGCACTGTGCATGTATGTGTATACGATTTAACCCTGACACATTTTCAACAGAAAGGTCTCCAAACTATGATACAAGACAAGGGTAACAACTCCCATAGGAAGGTGTCTATATATAGTCAGAGTTTTCGCCTTGTAGTAAATGAAAAATAATTATGCAAAATGTAGCCTAATACTTTATAATAGACACAAATCTTTAAAAATGTAAGTTACTTTATGACATATTATTTTAGTGCATATTATTCATTAATGCATCGTAAATTTTATTAATGCAATGTGCGTGTCGGCATTTGACAAATGTACGATAACAAATAGAGTCAATTTATAGGTATGTAAATGTAGTTACAAAGATATCTAAATTGTACCTTAAAAATGTCCAGTTCGCCATCATTTTACTGCAATAAAGCAGAAAATACCCAGTGCGGCCCACTTCGCGAGATAACTAATTTATAAATCATAGCGTCATATTTTGAAATTAATTTAAGCCCTTCTCCTAGGGTTCAGTTTTCATGTTTCAAAATGTTTATACTTCCTGGGTTTCTTGGCAAGGATATACATGTACAACCTGACAGCTTTGCACCGAGAACGCCTCATGGGAATATATGGAAAGCCATGGCTGTCTTATTTTGTCATTTTTCAATTAATTTATTTAACCATTTGGATAATATTTAAGTTAACTTCGACAATATATGAATTGAAAACACCTTCTTATTAAACCGGAAACCATTATATAAATCCACAGTTGTAATATATGATATCATGCCATCAGTGTGCAAAACTAAAGTAGCTATATATAAGTTGATTTTTTTTTCAATATCATTTTATGATGCCAATTCTTCTATACCAAAGTAGCCATATGTGGAACCGGTATTATCAATATATTAATTCATTTTTACAGTATATGAAACCATGTAACCATGTAATCAATGTATGAAACCAAAGTAGCAATATATAAGTTGGTTATCACATTATATGATACCAATTCTTCAATATATGGTACCAAAGTAGCCATATATGTCTTCTTTTTCTGTCTTTTAATAAAAATAAAAAAGCTCCTAGTCTGTCTCGATTTCAGAGATGCCCCCACTAGGACTCAGAAAGTTTACTATCTACATTATGTAATTTAAACGAAACACATTGAATAAACTTTTAGTACTACGAGGTATGATCATCAAGTTCTCGGCCCGATATACTTCTAGCCACTACGCTGACAACTACACATGATACGTCGATACTGATATCTTATTGAAGATTACTGACCGAGTTACACGCAGATTTACACAGATTAAGTAACATAAAACACACTTTGAACAGTAGAGGGGTTTGTCATTTAGACCAAATGGAGAAAGTTGGAATCAGAGCCGTCATTAAGTACCTCTGTAAGAAAGGGATGTCCCCAAAGAAAATCCATGAAGACTTCATCGATACACTTGGGAAGGAGTCCCCTTCCTATAGCACTGTGAAAAAATGGGCTGCTGAATTTAAGAGGGGCAGAGAGAGCATTGGAGATGATGAGCGGCCTGGGCGGCCAAAAAAGGCCACCAACGATGAAACTGTCGAAGCTGTACACGATCTGAAGGCGAGACCTGTAAAGCGTTACTAGGGAAGTGGGTATAACAGGCAATTCTGACTGATGTCTATGGCATGTCAAAGGTTTCCGCTAGATGAGTACCCTTACAGTTGACTGACGACCAGAAACGGACCAGGCTTAACATTTCAAGATATCTTTTGTCTCGCTACGAGGATGAACCTGATTTTATCTACCGGATCGTAACTCAGGATGAAACATGGGTCAATCAATTCGACCAAGAATCCAAAAAAACAGAGCATGCAGTGGAAGCACCCTGGCTCATCCTATCCGAAGAAATTCAAGAGGGTGCCATCAGCAAGAAAGATGATGGCTTCAATTTTTTTGGATAGTCAGGGGGAAATCATGATTGACTATCTTGAGCAAGGTCGTACTATAAACGGTACGTACTACGCAGACGAATTGAGATGTTGAGATGTCTTCGTCAAGAAATTGCGATAAAGGGGGGGGGGGGGGCAAATTGACTCAAGGCGTTCTGCTCCTGCACGAAAATGCACCAACTCACACATTCCAAGTTGCGATGGCTGCTGCAACTGACTGCGGCTTTAAAATTCTTCCCAATCCCCAATATTCTCCGGACTTGGCCCTCCTCTGACTTCTACCTGTTTCCAAAACGTCTAACACGTTTTGGAAACATGTAGAAGTCAGAGGAGGAAGCAATAAAGGTGTCATGGAGGCAGTCAATGAGTTCTTTGAGGACCAAAATAGAGAGTTCTATTTTGAAAGGTTAAACAAGTTGGAGCACAGGTTCGCGAAGTGCATTGATGTAGAGGGCGATTATATTGAAAAGTAAGACCATTAGTTGGATTCTCTGACTACCGGAGGTACATCGGGCCAAGAACTTTTTGATCAATCGTCGTATGTACTTTAAACAATTTTTTATTAAATCAATAGTAGGATATTATGTCACGTACGGCCTTCGGGTTTGTTTGTTTCATTTTACGCCTTTTCCCAACAGTATCGTTCCTGGAGAATTACACCAGTACTAAACTACCTTCCTCCGTGCTAAACTACCAAAGCATATCCCGAACCCACGCCAGAGAGGTAACTGGATTAGATGTCATCGACTCTAACCCCTCGACCACGCAGGCGGTTCGGGATTTTATTACTACCGTGCTATATCATAACACAGATAACTCCAAATCAAGATCTAT